AAAAAAAAAAGATAAGGTAGCTGAGTATGCTTATCTGGAGTTGCTTCTGCATCTTCTAATTTCATTGATCCTTGGGTCTGTTTTTGCCAGTACCATCCTGTTTTCATTCATGACACTTTGTACTATAATTTTAAGTCAGGGATTGTGATGCCCCTTGACTTGCTAAAAGGGGAAATTTGGACATAGGCATATGGGGTGAAGGTCACAGTGGTAAAGACAGACATGGGAAGCAGAGTACCAGGAGTGAAGTGAGAGGCACAGAGCAGATTTTTCCCTCACAGCCCTCAGAAGGAGCCAACCCTGCCAATACCTGGGTCTTGGACTTTTAGCTTCCAGAACCACTGGACTAAACTCTGTGTTGTGTAAGCCCTAGAGAACTCATACTGTGGTAGGAGATGGAAGCCCATTTTAGCTGGACTGGGACATGAAGAAGGGATTCCTAGAGGTGACTGATGCCAAGTAGGGCATTGAAGGACAACTAGGAGTTTATCAGGCAGAGAAGTCAGAGGAGAACACTCTAGGCAGAGGGGAGAGCATGTGCTAAACCCAAGACGTGGCTCTTCCTTGAACTTCTTTGGATTTCCCTACTCCTGCCTACCTGTCCAGGCCCCTGAGACCTGGAAACTCCTCTGCTCCAAGACAAGGATATCTGACTTTTTCCTAGAGGCCTCAGGGGCTCAGGTGGAGACAAGTATCTTTTTCACCGGCAGGGGCACTGAGGAAAGCATCTCCATGTGCAGGCCGGAACACGCTGGAAGTCATCAGGGTTCAAAGCCTCTGCCCTGAGGGCAGCTACAGTTGCTGGGATGGGGCCAAGGTAGACAGCTCTGTGCTGGCTTGGGGGTTCTCCCACCTCACCCTGGAAGGACAGACACCTGGACACGTGGCCGGGTACAAGTACTTTATTTCAATTACAATAGTGCCACACAAAAACTACAGTAGCACGAGACATAATACAAAAAATAGATTCCCAGTTCCAACCCCCACGTCTGCGTACCCACAGAGAAGCCAGCCCACGGCTTCTGACCTATGGGAGGAGGCCCGCGTGCAGCTGCCTCTGCTCCTGCACCTCCAGCCACACCTGTCCCCCAGCTCCCAGCTCCCACCCTCAACACAATGGGCACAATAACACTGGCTTCCCCAAAGCTGTGTTGACACTTTCCAGACTGCCCCCTCCATGGGGAAGGCAGAGGGTAGAGGGAGAGGAGGTGTAGAGGGGATCAAACTGGGAAGGGCACATCTGTACATGGCTGGCACTAGGCTCCAGCTCCTTCCCTGGTTCCTGTCTCGTCTTGCCCTGGAAGAGCTGTCAGGCCTTGAACTTGCTGCCAGTGCCCAGGGGCCTCCAATAGGGCTTCTTCCAACCCCTCGTTCCTTCTCTGAGGCTAAGCCAAGGCTGTCAGGGTGGTCACTGTGCTGTCTGTGTCTCATGAGACATTGGAAGGCCTGGCCAGGGGCACTGAGGAGCTGCCCTGCCTGTCCCTGGGGCTGGCTTCCCTAAGCATGTCTCAGTGGCACACTGAGCTCCACCCGGTACAGCCCAGGTCTCTCCTATGTGAGAAGCTGTGGCCCCATGGAGGGGATGTCATTCTTCCTCCCCCTATAGGTGACATACTGGCTGCATGGGCTTGGGGGAACTTCCCCTCACAGTCTCTTTTGGCTAACAGTACCCATAAGGAGAGGAACGCACTCAGCTATGGGTAGTCTTGGTCCAATCCAGGGGAATTCAGGGGCTGTAGCCTGGGAGCAGTGAGGGGTGACCCTATGGGCACCAGGAGTGTGGTTTTCTGTCAGGACATTTGGGGGACCCGCTGAGGAGGCTAAGGGCCTCTGGGGCAGGGCTATCTCCTTGGTAGCACTCAGGGCCGCAGCCTCAATAATAATAAGGCACTGGTGAGCCGGCCCTGGGGCCCGGCCAGGTGGGTGAGGGGCTGAGGGCAGTCCATACCTTGCAGGAGACTAGAGCGGAGGCTCCTTTTCTCCTTCCCCTGGGAAGAGGAGCAACAAGGCAGACCCCAAAGTGGCTGGGATGGGAGCATTGCTACAGATAGGCAACGGGTCCCTGGGACAGACATGCGGTGACCAACAGAGAAAGATGGGAAAGGACATCTATGGACAGCAGTGCAACTGATGGGGAGGGTCAGCCCACCCCCAGGGTCCTTGGGCACTCTCTGCTCATGTTCAAGGGCCCTGGCCTGGCTTCTTTCTGGTGCAGCCACCAGTCCCCTGCTGAGATACTGGAGATCAGACCTTCCTTGCTGGGGTTCCCAGGGTTGGACTGTCTTCTCCCTCTGCTTGGCCCCCAGCCTCCTATCTGTGTGGGTGATGCAGAAGCTCGGCTTGCATACCCCAAGGGCCAAGGCAGCTGTATGTGGGGACCTGCTCAGCAGCCTGGGGGGTCCCTGCCTCAGCCCAGCCTCAAAGTGAAGGGTATCTCACTGGGGGCTTCCTTTGTCCACAGGTTATTTAGAAAAACAGAACATAATAAATATACCAATCCTTTCCTTAAAAAAAGTGTTTTAAATGCATTTTTTTCCCTGAAGATTTCCAGTGTATTCCACAATGTTTAAAAAATAGTTTCCCCAAAAATATATCTTTAAAGCATTTGACACAGTGGTGCTTGTGGTATATCTGGCGCTGGATGTGGGTGAGGGGCTGTGCTCCATCACCCTTGTCGTTGTGGGGCCAGGCCTGGTGAACACGAGCCTGACACCCAAAAGTCACTAAGTTGGCGCACAAGTGCCTAGGATGACAGATCTTCACGGGGAACAATCTTAGGTAATGCTGAGAATGTCCATCTTGGGCAGCAAGGTGACAGCTATAATCCCTCCATGGAGGAAGGGGGCTGGGCCATGCCTTTGAGGCCAGCAGGAGGGGGCAGACTGGCAGCCCCACCCCCAGGACTTGTACTCAGCCCCTGCCCCTCCTCTGCCTTGGCTCTCTTTGCTTTGCTCCTTACCAGACCTCACACTTGTGCTGCGGGTTCATGGGGGAGCCAGGCGGGCAGTGGAAGTGTTCTGAGAACTCCTTGGAATTGGACAGGGAGCCGATGACTCGGAAGCGGGAGGGGCTGTGGGGGTCCGTGATGAGGCCTTCGTGGGAGCTCTCCGGGGTGCGGACTGAGCACCAGACCTGAGGGTGTAAAGGGCAAAGCTGGGGTCACTGTGGGGCTCAGCTTTGCCCAACTGTAGCAGCTGAATGAGGCCCTCCTATGGCCTAGGACATCATGCACGCCTGCAGTGTGAGTAAGGCAGAGCCAGGGGCTGGTGTCTCCCCACACCTGCACCTTACCCCAAGCTGTGTCCCCACCCAGCCAGAGCAGGGTCTGTTTGTCTGGTGCATCTGCCCTGGATTTTTATCTGAACTGGAGATTCTGCCTGAAGATCACTTTTTTTTTTTTTTTTCCATTTATGTATTCAGGACAGGGTGTCACTATGCAGCTCGGACTTGTAGTGATGCTCCTGGTTTTATCCTCCCCAGGTTGAGATTACAGGCAGGCGCCATCATGCCCAGACTCAGTCACTGGCTCAGCTTGCTCCATGGGCAGGGCTGGAGCAACAATGGGGACCAGGGATCAAACCCTGGTCCCTGTGCTTGCCAAAGCAGGCACTTCGTCTGCTGAGCTATCTTTCTGGCCCTGAAGACCACTTTGGAAACCTTGGTCTGGCCTTATATTTCCGGAAGAAGAAACTCTGTCTAAGGGTGTGACGGTAGCTGTGGGAGTCAACAGTAGGCCTTCAGCTGAATGCCAACTCAAGGGG